TCATGTTTAAAATGCAGAACGGTAGCATCAGACATTGTTCTGTACAAAAAGATCCCACTAAAAACACATTCTCAAATTAAGGTCCCTTTTAGTGTTTTAGTACTTAGTGTTTTGGAACCATGCCTTGCCTTCGTTGGCTTGGCTTCTGAAGAAATACACCATGTGCTGATATCGCTAAACACATTAGCAGATTGTCAACTAACACTGATGGCCCACTTTTAATTGCAGTTCTGTATCGAACATAATGTATATGTCTGTGCTTAAGCAACAAAAATAAAAGGGCACATTTTCTTACCTGCTTTATGGCTGTCACAGTTATAACAAAAAACAATGGCAATCCACTAGTAATTGGACTAGTAGGAGTATCTATCATAAGCTGGAAGAGAAAACAGACAGAAAGAATATGCATACGAGTCAAATTTTGGAAAGTCTATGTTTGCATTTGTATGTTATATTCAGAAAACTGTAAATAGTGGTTTGTGGTTGCTACTGTAACACTGCACACAGTATATACTACAATATTTTATTACTCTTTGGAAATGGTTTGTAGCTTCCAAAAATTACCAAAGCCAATCAGATGTTGGTGGATAGACTTTTGATGTTATTTATTTATACTGTATGTTGTAACAGAGTACAGCATTAACCATTTATTTTCGGTACTCAAGCTGCTTTTTCCTGCTGGGAGATCCTTGTGAGGTTCAGTAGCCAGAATGTGTACGGGTTGCCTTGTGATGTGACGAAGCCTGTTGCTGATTGCACAGAGGGAGTCCTTAACTTATGACCATACCTGAACTCAGAATTATGGCTGTAAGTCATGCCGTTCGTTTAAGTGGGTCATCACCACCCGACTGTGCCCAATGTTATCACTTTTTAAACAGTTAAGTGAACCCATCTTAGCTGGAAATTGGATAATCACGAGCATGTGACACTGCAAACCGTCCTAATTGGGGGCTGGTTGCCTGGTACCCAAAATGCAGTCACATGACATCTGTATGTGTGTGTGTGTGTGTGTGTGCGCGCGCGCATGCGTGTGTCAAATGGAACTTTGAAACTGGTCATAAGTACCTTTTTGGGGGGCCTGTTATAACTTCAATGGTTGCTAAGAAACCAGTCATAAGTCAAGGACTACCTATAAAGGACTTTAATGGCATTTGGAAAGCAGCCAGATTCTCACCGATTTTAAAATAGTCCAAAACTGAAAATGAACTTGGCAAAAATTTCCCTTGTATACCTGCCAGATTAAAAGATGCTTGTCGGCAAGCATACCAATGTGTTGTCAATAATGAAAAATACAGACTGTGCTAAGAATTGTTGCAAGATAGCATGTGGTAGAAGTTCAGCTGCAAGATCTTGGTTAAACACACAGTGTGAACACAGCATTCCACTCAAAGTAGAAATGGAAGAAGATTGTGTGCACTGTGACAAAACACAGATCTCTTGCATATGGACCAATCCTAAGGGTGTGTGTGTGTGTGTGTGTAACGTATTCTATTAGGCAGCAGCTCTAAAGGCCAGTATCACCAATCAGTCAATCAATCAAATTTATATGGCAGTCTATCTTACAGAAAATTATTCTGAGTGGTATACAACAGTCCAATAAGAGTATTTGGATTTGGATTTTATTGGGTATTCCCAAGGGACTCAGGGCGGCTCACAATAAAAAAGGGGAAGGGATACAAAAAATAAAATAAAATAAAACAAAAAACAATTTAAAATTATACAACAGCAATAACAATAGATGTATAAAACAGTCATTATCTCAAAACATTATACTAATTTAAAAATTATTTTAAAGAAAACTAAAACAGAAAAAGAAAATAATAGAGGGATGTCAATAATAACAGAGCCACCTCATGAGTTCACCCGTTCCTTGGGGTCCCAAGGGCTGCTGACATAATCAGGTCTTGAGGGACCTTGGAAATCTCAGACGTGATGAGGTTTTCCTTCTCAGCATAAACAGGATAGGGATTTTGAAGGGGATGCAAGCATTGTATTTCAAGCATGAGCAATCTTAAGATGCTGAGATGTGGCAGAATTGTGATAGAAAAAAAAATCAGAATTCTGTAGGCAATGTAATTTCCTGTGACATTCTATGGAAGTGTAAGTTTGAACACCGATGTTGGAAAAATATTTTGAGAGTAGCTTGTAATAACCAAGGAAGCAAATGGATCATCAAATAAATCAACCCAGAGTTCTCACTCAAGACACAAAAGGCTCAAATGATCATACTCTGAACACGTATTGTGAAGAAGACTATAATGCTGGAAAAGGTAGAAGAGAGGAAGAAGAATACCGAAGTGGATGGACTCAGTTACAGTGGCAAGAGGCGCTCTGTTGGAAGACCTAAAAGACCAGGTTAGGGATAGTTTGTCATGGAGAACATTTGTCCATGTGACTGCTGAGAAAGGGCATTGACCTAATGGCACATAATCAATCAATGCTGTGAATTGTATAAGATAATCCACAGAATATGTATACAGGTGACACATTAAAGAAAAGCTATTTGTCAACAGAAAGAGGAATTATGATAGAAAGCATAGCAAATTGTGTTGGAAGCAAAGAGGAGTACTTGAAGTTGTTAAAGGGCAACAGATCTTCATTTCTGAATAAGGTAACCTATTAATTATCCTTTGAAAGTTGGGTGATTTATGAAATATTGACTATAAAGGCTGCACAGCTATTAGTAGGTTGTTCTTTGTTTCTTAAATATTTGAGAAATGCTTCTATTCTAAAAACAATAGTACAAATAATTCCACTCTGATTTCATTGAAAGAGAGGTATAGTGAAATATAGAAATTCTAAACCATTTCATGGATAAATGTCTCATATGACCATTATATCACTATTGATACTTCTTTTATTCACATAGTAAATGTTGCAAATGAAACTGCTTTTCTGAATTTATTTCAGAGCGGAAATGTAAAGAGTTCAGCCAAAATAGTGATGAAGCTGGATGTAAAGAAGAAAAAAAAACCAAGCTAAAACATATACAAGCCTTACTGATTAATTGAGCTTGGTACTTAACAGTTAACATTTAAACACTGCTTAAAACTGTAGAACTTTTTTCTGCTAAATTTAGAATCCTTTCCATTGAGGTTTTTAGACAAAAGAAGCTTTATCACAACTTGTGAAATACGAAAGTGTAAATAGAGAAGAAAGACTAAGCAAAAATGAGTAACATCTATTTTCTGATTTCATTATCGTATGTACGGGAACATTGAATAATGAAAGGGGGAAAAAGCATGCAGTAGGTGACAGTCAGGTGATTTTTAACAGTTTTATTGCAACAGCCACAACATGGATATCATTGCAATTTAGGCCTGAGGCAGCATTTGCAAAAGATATAAAATGTAATACATAAATGGAATTAAATACTACAGTGGTTGGTGTAATACAGTACACAGGATATACAGCATACAGAAAACACATCTGAAGAATACATTGTTCAGTCCATTCCTCAGAACAAGGTTTTGTACCACATTTAGAAGTTGAGAACTGCAATCTTGTCATATGCAGAGAGATTTAAGATAGATTTCCCCATGAAGTTCATAATTTCATATTTCCAGGGGGATTTTTTGAGAGCCTGTTCTTTCGACAGGGTATAAATAAATCTCTTTTCCATCCTGTTAGCTTTGGACAACAATCAAGTCCATGGGTCAACTCTATGTGTCTCACCTGCTGTTACAATGTATTGATTGATTATGTGTCATTAAGGCATTGTGGACTCTTAGTGATCTCGTGTGTGTGTGTGTGTGTGTGTGTGTGTGTGTGTGTGTGTGCGCACTTTATATATATAATTACAATATTTTAAATATCTGCTACCATCTTGTGACGGACGACAGCAAAAATCAATATAATCTCAATAGCACAAGGCCCAAACAATAGCTAAATTTCTGATTATAGTA